TATATATATATATATATATATATATATATATATATATATATATATATATATATTATATACACACACACACACACACACTTTTTTGCTGTATGTCTGTTTAAGTACACTGACAGCGACAACAAAATGGAGACAAGTTCCTAGTATGCATAAACATACTGTAGAATGCAAGCCAAAGCAAATTCCTTCCTGTACTGGGCAGGCAGTGCCTCATGGGAGATGAAGTCCAGTCAAATACTCACAGGAATGCCCTGGAGCTGGGGTTTGTCTAACAAATTGTGGAGTTCATTCTTGGAAGCCTCAATCTTTTCTCGGTCTGCAGCATCCACCATGTAACTGCAGGAAAAAAACACCAGTTACGCATATTCACTGGGAAGGAGCGTTCAGGCAGTCACTATTACTGCTGACAGATCTATACACGGTGAAAGGAGCTAAAAAAAAATAAAGTATGGTTTTAATTAGCACACATTTTTCTCCAGGGGTAAAAACGTGAATGTGCTGCCATCTGCAGGTTACGTTTTACAACATGAACAGCAATTTTTTCTCTCAACAAATCCTTACATATTGCTTAGATATCAAGCTATGTGCTGGTAATGTGACATACTGTGGCTTTAATAAACAGAAAAACACTTCTCACTCAGCACAGGTACTCATTCCAACAGCCTCTCAGGTACTCACTCAGCACAGGTACTCATTCCAACAGCCTCTCAGGTACTCACTCAGCACAGGTACTCATTCCAACAGCCTCTCAGGTACACACTTAGGACAGGTTCCCATTCAAACAGAATATCAGGTACTCGCTCAGGCTGTTGGAATGAGTACCTGTGCTATCAGGTACTCACTTGGCACATGTACTCATTCCAAGGCCCTCTCAGGCACTCACGCAGGGCAAATGCTCAGACCCAGGGCTTCACGCACAGCACAGATACTCACACAATGGCACTCACGCCTCGGCAGTACCGCTCCCACATGCTCCTGAAACGAGGCTGACCACCAATGTCCCACAGCTGGGGAGAGAAAAGGACAGACAACCATCATCATCATCATCATCATTATAATACTGGACTACTACCAACTCCGCCACAAAAAGACACCTATAGATACCTGTATACAGCCAGATACACTACTCACCAGACATACACAAATTCCAAGCTAGGGAAATATATATACATGTAAAGACAACAGTTAAAATTAGGCTACCACCACTGTTACTACTACTACTACCAGCACTAATAAATATTAATAATAATAATAATAATAATAATAATAATAATAATAATAAATCTCCATGGCATCCTGACCTTGATAGTGACATTCCCCTTGGTGATCTTCCTCATGTTGAAGCCCACTGTTGGGATCATGTCTTCACTGAACTGGCCAGACTGGGGAGGGGCGAAAATGAACAAGGATTCACTGTGAAGGTTACTGTGGGTCTGCTAGGGAAGGAGCAGTAAAGCAGCGCTGCTCCAAGCCAGTAGGTGACATACTGGTTAAGAAACAGAATATCAGCCGGATACTACTGTAATCAATAGTATAAATGGTTAAATACTCCAAGCATCTTTAAACATAAGCTCCAGCTCGTAATGGTGATCACATAAATTACATTTATATCCCCCCACCACACAACTCAGATCACTGCAGACACGCCACAGACAGTGCAGCCCATTTGCTAAATAACAACCACATAATCTCAGAGGGATGCTGCTACATCCCCACTTAAGCACCCAGGTATTTCCAAAGAAGAAGAGAATCTACATCCGCATGGAAAACAAAGACATATGCAGACGTATAGTAACGTCTAAGTCTGCCTGAAAGACCAAGCAGAATTACAAGTGGAAATTTTTCCATCTTTCCTGTAGGGGGATCTGGAGTTTACAGCGGGAAGCACAGGGAACAAGGCAAGAGTACAGCCTGCCCATTGAGTACAAGTACCAAATCTCACAAGAAATAAATATAAAAACCCGCATTTAATAAGATGTGCGGTGCCGTTTATCCTGTCGCCTCCAGCCAAAAAGACTTCTGTTCACCTGAAAAACTCCTACTCACTGCCTGCTTCTCTCTTGCAAACCGTCAGGGAGCCTCTGCTTTCTCACATTCACTTTGACCAGAGGGAGAAACTTATAGAGTCCAATCACTCCCACATTCAGAAAGGTTAACATTTTTCTGAAGGGTTCAACAGCCATTCCCTTACTGATACAACACAACATAGCAAAAACTGGCTAAATGTGCCCAAAGGTTCTGATCTGGATGTGAAAATAGATCTATATAAAATCTAAAAATTATATATAAAATACATAAAAATCAAAGGGTCACAGTTGTACAAGATGATTACAGATATACTTTGATTGTATTATGTCCAAGTAAACAGAAGTCAGAAGGTTTCAGTTCATGCTTATCAAGGAGGAACTTAGACCTAAATGCTAGCCTTCACTACCAGAATTTAGCGCCGACACCCCATTGATTTCTCAACACAGAGAGCTCATGTGACAAGACCACATGTCAGCTCTCCCTCACATTCTGTGCCACAGGGGCTACTGAGAAGATCACATGGTACTGCTCAGCCAATGAGAAGGAAAGACGTACAAGAAAGGAGAACGTGTACTCAAATCGTGGCATCAGACTTGTTTAAATACCATGCTACTGTGGTCTATTTGGAAAAATAATACACATTCACCCTTGCATATACGCTGTTAACCTGGACACATTGCTCATAATATTTGCTTCATTATTTAAATGCACAAGATTCTGGTTATATACCTAGATCCTTAACCACAACCATGTTCTTCTCTAAACAACCCAACATCTTATAGTAAAAGATGCCTTCAGTGCCGTCCTGAGATACCCGGTGGGGTTAGGGGGCAGTCAGCAAAATTTGTATGATTCCAGTCAGTGTCTGGGGATATCGTCAGAAATCCCCCTGCAAGTAGACATGCAAAGGGGCTAAAAAATTCTGTAAACTTTCCATTCCATGGGAAGTTAAGCTGGGTAATTTTAGAAAAACAAGATGGAAACTTCCCATGGGAATTAACAGGAATATATAGGAATTAAATTCCCAAAATTTTGCCACCCTACTTGCAACCATAAGAATCCAAATAACACAACCAGGGAATCCTGGGTAGACACCAGAATCTGAGCACTCAAAGAAGACCCCATAGAAAAAGTCTATTAAAGACACACAGTCTATTGACTACAGAATCAGCAGGAAATTCTTGCCAAGCCACACAGCAAGCAAGAGACACTTCTGCTCGACAATCGTCTGCCAGTCATTCGGCATCAGTTCCAGAAGGAACATTTATGGAGTCGTGTCTACTACTTGATGCCCCACCAATTACAGATAAATAAGCACAGTCATAATGCACCTGACACACTAGTAGAACTTTGGGCCAACCAACATAACCCACTGACCTCCATCTACCAGAGATGACAGACAGTATATTCAATAAATGTTGTAACAATCTTAAGGGGGTTCCAAGTAAACATGACCACCAAAGATTCTGCAAAATATCTTAACACAATCTGTATAATGCAAACCACTAAGGATCCATTTGAAAGCTCAGAGAGAGGCGTACTTCCCCTGATGAAGAAGTCCTAATTTGGCACTGGCTCGTTGCAGCTCCTCCTAAATTGCAGAACCCATCTGGAAATGCTGAAAGTGGCCCAGCAGAACCAAGACTAACACTGAACCTCAAAAATCCTTGACCTGTGCTTTCACTTCACCACAGTGTGACTCACGATGAAATAATCCATGCAACTTTCCATCTTGCATGATCCCATGGTGTATCATCCGTCAAGCTCAGGTGACAAGTAGGAATTTTCCTCCTTTGGCCTGATGTCACCATAAACAAGCACTAAGGGGCTTTGACAGCCACACAACGGGCAAAACTGAGACATACATCAGACTTCTGAACATAACAGCGATGTCAAGATTCCTCAGTAATTGTCATCCAGTTTGTGTTTACTGAGCTTTCTGTGGTGTCGAATTGTTTCCAGTTTAATTAACTTTACCTGCAATTTTTGGTTGGAGTGTAAAGATGATACACTCAGTGGACATAACATTTACATGTCTGGGAGACAATTCTGTCCACAGTGACGTACAAGTGAGAATCATAGAGCAGGGTCTGCCAATGTCCGTATAGCAACTGGACTTAAGGGCCTTGCTCAAGGGCCCAAAAGTGCTAAGATATTTTTTTTCTCCATGCCACCCACTGGAAGTGACAACCTTCCAGACATGGGCACCAATCCCTAATCCCAACCCCCGGAACGAGACAGCACCGCCTCACCATGGATTTCAAACAGGCCTGCGGAATCTATGTCATAATGAAGGACTGCATTTTGGCTATCAAAATTCATCTCCTGCTAGGATATTCCCATGGATTGCGGACGGGCTTCCGTCGCAGTCCAGGAGGGCTTGTTCAACATGCAGTCTTTCAAACCAGAGACATGCATAAAACAGACGACTCGCCAATCATTTGATGTGCAAAAAGACAAGCTATACCAAGGACGCCAACTTTGGTCAGCGGGCTGGAGTTAAATTTTCAATTCCAGACAAGACTCCACACACATTTACATGTATGTGACAGCCTGATTACCTTGTAAATAGTCTGTAGTGCTTGCAAACTACCCCAATGATTTTGATATTGCTAACTTTAGGTTTATAATGTAATAATACAGACTTGGCATAAGATTTCTTGCATGAGTGTCACGGTAGACACGTGCGAGCCTCGGATCCTCCTAATGTGGACGATGAATCCTGGGCCTGCTTAGCACATAAGACCTATCAGTGACCCAATGTCAACGATTAGGCCTCATCAGGACCCCCTGCTGACGGAAGATAGCGGGGTCATTAACTCAACCACGCGTATCTCTCATTGTACAATCCTATCCTGAATTTCATCTGATAGTTTTGCGTTCGACAGAATACAACGAGTTTGATGAATAGTACCGGACCCTGAAGAGCTGACGCGGTGGAAACCATGGCTGAGCTAAAGAACACGGATTTATTTAGGCCCTGAATATGGCAGAGAGCTCATCACCGTCCATTTCTGTAGAAAAAGCAGAAAATACACCCATCTCGCTTTGTTGTTTTAATTATCGAGTCATTAAAAATTGAAAACCTCCCATGCAGATCTCTAGCCCCGATTCACCGTTAAAACACAAGAGAAATCATGAATTCGGTACCGCTCATGCTAAAGAAAAGTACACCATAATATGCCGTGTGGAGATAAAGTAAACCTATAAAGCATCCGGTGTATCTGACCGTTATATCTAATGGCTGACAGGATGTCGTCATTGCTGGCAGCCCAGTTCACATGAGATTTTGCCTCCCCCTGTACAATTAATAAGCTGACAGTCCTACGATGCTAGATAAGAGCTTCGCCATTAATACTGGCAAAGACGACAAGTGGATATTGAAATAACAAACACAGCCCCCCTCCCCCTTTTCTGTTTAAACCTAGCAAACTTGACTGAAATGATCATCCATATTACTCCATAAAGGCAAATTTAGCAGGGAGCGTCGTGACTGCAAACTCCAGCCAGGAAGAAAAACCTAATATGGATCCTTGTTGTAAAGTGAAACAGAGTAAAATAAACGCATCGTTACCGCAATCACGTTGACGAATGTGGTCTTCCCCGAATACTGCAAGCCGACCAGCGTCAACTCCATTTCTTCCTTCCAGAACAGCGCTTTAAACCAGTCTAGGAGCTTGTTGAACAAGGCGATCATCTTGTAAAGATGAAAAGCAGCCCGGGCGTAATCGCAGCAAAATATCAGCTGACCGTGTGACCGTCACCCGGCTGAGATTGCGCAGACACGCAAACAATCGGCCGTATAAATCGGTTTATTTCTCTTGCGCCGATGTAATGCACGCTTCGATTTCTCAAATCCCACCCTCGCGTTTCCTCGCTTTACTACCAGTCGTTCTTCCTAAGGCGTGCCCTTCCTCGTTGGGTGGGGTTTCGGATCCATACGCTGCCGATAGGAAACAATACACCGGGAAACGGGCTCGCTTAACGGAAGGCGTGCCGGAGCGAGCGGAGCGGAACCGCCTCACGAGACTGCGCCCCCCTGCGTTGGCGGCACCAATGAGTCGAGCTGATGCAGAGATCCCTCATTTGTTGGGCCGAACGTCGGAGCTGGCGGTGTAGATTCTGAAAACCCTACATGAATAATCACTCTTCCAGATATTCCGGTTCTAGAGTAACACAAACCGATTTATTACTAATTCTGCTCACATGCATAATACTCAGACATCTATAACACACACAGCCGCACGCAGTGGCTCATACATTATTAACCGCTCATACCATGAAAGACATAATTGACATGTATCTAGTTGGAAGATGAGGGTGAAAAAGTAGTGAAATACTAACATGGGAGACAGATTTTTCTCCATCACTCCTGTATTCTAACAAGGAACCCAGTCAGATTGGTCTGTACGTCTTTCTTTATGTGGATAACGAGGTAGACTACTGATTAGGTGTCATGCCTCAATGGTTGTGGGTTTAGATGTGTGTATGAATAAATAGATTTTAAAAAATATAAATTAACTAAGGATTTACATGTGAGGAATATTTTCAAGTTAATGTAGTGGCTAAAGATGCTCCAAGAGAAAGGCAATAGCTACTATTTTGTATGGGTTGTCAACGCACAGCCTTCTGATTATGAAATCCAGTTTCTGAAGCATCATACTTTCGTTGTACCTGGTGCCCCATTTCCTGATTTGAAAGAAGCATGAATTGTTAATGAAACGCTGACATTTTAAAGTGAGTGTGATTGCCTGAAACAGGTAATTGATTTTTTTCTTATCTTTTGGTCCAATTTTCTCATATTCATACTGAGCCTATGGAAGAGGGCATAAAATTGCATTGCATATGCAAATTCGTATATTATTTAATATTTTTTTTAATCCTCCTGGGATCAATAAAATATCTTATTTGATATAACTCAATTATGAGTTATATGATCTATTAATGGCTTGTGTTGGACGCATAATCATTCGTACAAATACACCATAACCCCAACTCCAATTTCTAAAGCCATTTTCCTACACCATATTTCACTAATTACACATATAGTGCGTGTTTGTGTGGCCTGGGGTAGGTTGTCAGAAGAAGAAGAAGAAGAAGAAGAAAATATAACAACAATATGTTTCTTTTTTTTAAGCCAACATAATAAAAATGTAACCCTCCCATTTAAACTACCACTCCATCCATACCTGCATGTTTCTTAAGTTATTGCTTTTAAAAGTAGCAATTTCGACATAATGAAAATGGAAGAAATAAATATGAGGTCCAGAGTATGAACATAAAATAAGTTCCAGTGACACTTATTTTTGTGCATTTGAATTTATAAAAACATTGTTAAAGCACCGCACATTGGACGAAGAACGGGGACAAGTCAAAGACGGACTGTCGAATCTGCGGATACTAATCGACGGTCAGCAGACCTTAGAAAAAGGAAGTGAAGTAATAACATTGGGAGTGGGAAACCCAGCAGGTGGTGGAGGAGGTGGGCGATGCGGAAATGTAAACGTCAGGTGTTTACTACTGGTGGCGAACGTTTTGTGGACGCAGATTCTGCTGTAATGGTTTAGGAAACACCACAAATGCTTTCGAGTCTCTGATTATTGAGGCATCAGGGTAGCTAGATGCTTGTCTATAGCAGCGGCATAGTATCGGGCGCTATCACTAGTTAGTGAGCTAGCTAGCGATGTCGTGTTAGTACTAAACATATAGCTAGTTCTTGCCGGCAGTGATTCCCGACTGCTGAGAAGAGGCTCTGTTAATATTAACCGAGGCGTAATATGACATAAGTTACACCCTGGTGAGATGGGTGGTTTGGCCAGGCTCGATGGTAACCGTGACTAGCAGCCCGGTGACGTCACGCCGTGAACTCTGATCGATTTGTCTTGTTTCTGCAGCACCGTCGGCGATAGAAAAAGACCTTTTGACGGGGTCTCTCTTAATAGACTAATGCGTTTTCGTCATTGTTCCTGGTACTACACTCGTTTCGCAACAAATTGCATAGGTTGTCAGTGTGACCAGACAAGTTTTAATTAGGTTATTTGTGAGGAGAAAAATAATGGCCTTATGTTGACTAGAGCGTGTTTTTTTAAATCGACTCTAAGCTTCTCTGCCCACGTCGACCAAGTCAAATGCGTGACCTGCCTGTGTATGATACTCAGTATGATAGATTCGACCGGGTAAATGTGACGAGCACTGCATGTCGTCTTCGTTTCCATAAAAATGGAAACGACATACTCTCGGTTTAGTTAAAGAAGATAAACAAAGAATCCAACAACGCCTTTTAAAATCGCCTCATTGGCCATGGGAATGACACTGAGTGAGCCTTGCATCTATGACAAACTGTCGGAAAGTATTGATATTCTGCGCCAATCTGGATATCGATATGGCATGTCAGAGAAGGAGATAGAGAGGTTCATCAAGCAGGTGCTGGAAACGAATGAGCCACGAAGGGAACCACCGCAGTTCCCCATTCTTCTGGCTACCGTCAAGGTGAGAGACCTCCTGGACACTGTTACCCTTTTATCATGATTGGTTAGTTCGAAAACAACAGTTTGATTATATCATACTGCCTGTATCCGCAAAACACTGAGCCATAATAAATACATCTGTAGTATGCTAAATACAATAATCTGATAACTATATATCTCTGACCCCCCCTCCCCCCAAGTGTGGCCCATCAATTACTGGAATAGATTCTGACAAATGCAGGACTTTGTTAAGCTGTGTGTTCCAGCTGTTCATTAATAAGTAATAGCAGGAAAATTGAGCCACAAGTCTTGACTCATTCAAATACAGGGATGTATTTGATGTGTTTTGTTTTTTCTTAACATTTTTAACTGTATTGTCTCCAGTTTGTAGTTGCAGTGGGCTTCCTTCTGGTGGTAGTGTTGGCCTTCACATATCCACAAAGCCACCCCCAGCTGGGCTGGACCATCACTGGGAGCCATAACTGGTCCTCCCCCCTCAGCCATGTGCGCCTCCTCTCTCTGCCCATTGCCAAGAAGTACAACCTGCAAGGTATTGTGGGTGTTAGGCGGAGGGAGAAGGATTGTGGTCTGTACAAAGGGATTGTGGGTACTGCAGATGACATCAGTGCTGTCCAAGGAGTTCACTGGAATAGATGCTATTGGAAAGGGGCTCTTTAGCCATGTGTAAAGCAGAAAGGGTTGTGCTTAACCTGCACCTGTGCTTCCACAGGGTTCCACCAGTGGTGGAGCATGGGACACCCAAGAGCAGAGTCGGTCAACTGTTCTGGGTGTGCGGCTGTCTCCACCATCCTGGACGTGGTGCAGTCGCTGTCTGGTCCCACAACCTTGCGCAGGGGCGTGCAGCCCATACTGTTCAAGGTCAGCCGCGTGTCACGTTCCTCATCGCATGCTGTCATGAACTGAGTGAGACCCCTTGCCCCTTGATGTCTGTCTGCTGCTTGTGCACTGCAAGTAGTGTTACGTGAGTGACGGCTCCCAGCTCTCAGCCCACACTGTACGGCTCTTTCTGTTTTTGGCTCCGCCCCCCCTTGGGAATGACAGCCCCTGAAATCTGTGGCTGTTCTCCATGTGCACGGCGAGTGACGGCTCTTTCTCTCTCTGGGTCTGCCCCCTGTGTGAGTGACAGCTCCTTGTTCTATATTGCTCTGCCAACTGCGTAAATGGTAGCCTCTGATCTCTGTGGCTTCACACCTGTAGCAATTCATCCTGGTCTTTCTGACCCTGCCCCATGAATTAATAAGTTATTGCTGCTAATGCTATTGGCCTTTGTGTAAATCCCCTAATGTCTGTGGCTCCGCCCCCTTGGAATGAGTGATGACCTTTGCTCTTTCTGGCTCTGTGCAGTGAGTGACATCACTTCCTCTCTGTGTGCTTAGGGTGGGGAAGCACTATGGCTGCAATACCACCAGTTGGAGCTGCTCTACTCTGCACACCCAGAAGACTTCAGCATCCTACCTGGAGATCCAAGAATGTCTCCCTCCCAGGGATTCCCACCAGAGCCTGCAAACTTCACTCTGCTTTTGTGAGTGCCTTCACCTGGTGGGATGTTTCTGAGCTTATAAATATCCTTGAAGATTTGAAGAAGAAATATTTGAAGAAATATCCTTTTCTATCTATGCCTTCCTTTGGACAGGAGGTCCGTGCCGGGCAGCGGGCAGGATGTACTGCATTGGCTCTTCCCTGGAGTAGAACTCTGCCCCCTCCTGGACCTCACAGGAACAATTCTGCATGGCTGCCTTGTGTCCCACACCATAGAGACACAGAGCAGAGTGAGTTTTCCAGCTATATAGACATTGTGCATTACACAAGCTCTAAGGCATATGCACGACAGCAGGCAGAACACAAATGTGCTGATAGTGTGTCCTGTGGTGCCAATTTCATGTACCGTGCATGGCCATGCATGTGTTGGCGAACATTGCTTTTGTGCATTTGTGTGTGCATGGTCCCTGTTTCTGTTGCAGGCCCTGCATTGGTGTCTGTCTCATTACAGGTGCTCTGTGTGTGTCAGTGAACAGTCATTTCCGTTGCAGGCCCTGCGGTTGCATGGCTGGCTGTTAGTTGGAAAGGGCTTCCCTACAGCTCGACTGCTGCCTGTCCCACAGTGTCACATGTACTGCAGCTCCTTCAGCCTGTGGCTAGGCCCCGGGGATCTGGGTGAGCAAGACGCACACAAATACACTGCATCACCCTCCTGCTCATATGTATGGTAACTTTCTAAGATTGTTAGGCACATGCCAAATGTCATTTATACTCTGAAAATTCCGGAAGCACAGAGCTGGGCAGTTCTTAACCTGATTTCCCTGTCAGCATCTGTATTGCATCTGTATTAGTTGCGTCATTCTTATAACAGGCTAACTGGGGAACATGCACAGTGGGACTAATCTTTACTGTCTCTCTGCAGTTTATGCGGACCCACGATTCTGGCAGGTGGAGCTTTTTCCTGGCAAGGGGCAGAATATCGTATGTGATGGCTCAGCCCCCTGAAATAAGTACTGAAGATTGGAGAGAGAAGACGGCTGGGAGGTCACTGTAGCTCCCATTGGCTGAGCTGGCTCTGCCTTTTAATGTAAATGTAGAAGAAGAGGGAGAATTGAAAAGGGGAGGGGGCAGAACTCAAAGCCCTCCCCCAGCCGCCCCCCATTAACTCCTATTGGCTGAGCTGCCACTTTGACGTACCACGTTAGCCAATTCATCATACATTATTTGCATTTAAAGCCTTTGGGTGAGAGATGGAGAGTTGGGTCTCCTGAGAACACAAACAGCACCTGATCTGTGATGGCAGCCTTACATCACTGGAGCTTCTCCGAATTGCTGTTACATCTTTGCTTTGCGCCAGGGGAGCAGGTGGGAGACTCTCATGCAGACTCAGCTGTGTGACACCTGCGACTGCCATTCCAGGCGTGTTAAAAGCACAACACGAACCCTTGTAACTGGCATGTTTGCTTGCACCTGGTGGAATCTGCCCCCCTCACCCTGGCCTGTACTCTGACCTCAGTGACAGGTTAATGCAAATTACACTTACAATTAAAATCAACTGTAATACGATTACACTCTCAATGTAAATGTGACTTTTGAAAATGTTCCAGTTTACCAAACCTTACTGGAGAATGTAAAGTTCAACATAGGTCTAACAAAAAGAATATTTGTAATGATGTACTTAATTTTGCATTTGTGGCTAGCCTTGGGTCAGAATGAAAATCAAACCTTTGTACTTGATAACTACCAAATACTTTGGTAGAACTACCATTCCACCTGGGGCAGACGTCCTCCTTTCCGTCCCAGTGCCATGCTTTTTAGCAGAACCGAAGCTGCCCCTGTCCGCATCATTGTTTGCTGCTGCAGGTCTTGGGTTCGTCCTGTCGCCTGTCTGCACAGCTGCCTGTCAATGCACTTTAACAATCTGCTCGTGTTGATGATGTCATAGACCTGCAGATCTTCTCTCCCCCAGCGGTTCCTGTACTTAAAACACTGATTCTTGCCAGCAACTTATTTCAGATATTTATTCAGCAGGGTGCAAAAGTCCCACTTAGGTGGTTCTCTTAATTTTAATTTATGGAGTTATTCCCACCCTACTCTTATGACAGGCGTACATTTACAAAATTACAGTAATGTATTCTATAATGGCATTTTAAATTTAAAGGTATCGCCCTCATATGATTCCTAAGACACCTGTTTGCATTAGACACTAGTTATCGAACACATTTGAAAATGTTTAGTTTGATGTTACTGTTTTTGCATGAGTACACATATTGCTCACTTTCCCTAACTTTGAATCACTCAGTATTCTGTGGTTATAATAGCCGTTTTGTGGGCAATGGGGGTTATGATGATATGTTTTATTAGGTTGGATTAAGATGCCATTTCAAAAAATAGTCAAGATTATGAAAGACTAAATCCACCCCTGACTCTGGAATAAACTTAATGGGCTATGAGATGGATTATTTTTTTTCGATATTAACTGAAATTTAGCTGTTGATTTACCCTAGATAAACTTCCACAAGACAACGTGTTTTGAATGCCAAAAAAAGTTTAATTACTCGTAAAATTGGATATTGAATATCAGGGTAGAATCTGATATGCAGAATGGCAACTCATCAAGTTGGAAAGTGTGGTGGACATACCAATAGCTAGGTGATGGCTTGCAAAGTTACATCATGGACTATTAAAAAAATAAATTAAAAAAAGAAATTTAATAAATAATATTAAAGCTTCGTACGTCATGTAGATCGATGTGGACAGCAGCTTCAACGTAGTCAACGGTAGCTGTAAAACTAGCAAAAGCTTCAATGCCGTCACTCTAGAAGTTAAAAAGCTAGATGACTGTTCAAGTCACCTCGTGATGCACCCTTCAAAATATTGGAAAAAATAATTATAATTTGCGGTTTTTTTCTTATAGTATATCGACAAAACATGTAGTATGGGTGGGAAAGGTTTGGGAGGAAATGATACACATAGTAAGGAGTAACTCATATGATATATAAATGTCATATCATTAAAAATTAACGTAGTTATCGAGAACTGTTCCCATTCTTTTGGGCTGGGACCTACTGGTTGCCACTGTTAGTTAACCAGGAGTTTTACATGGTTCCAACGGCACCTGCATCTTGGTAATAACTTCACAACGCAAAAAAATACAACGCTGCACTTCGTACAGCGTGACACTGCGCCACCACGTTTTTTTTTTGCCCCCTCCCGCCTGATAAGATGCAGGTAAGATGTTTTGCACACTTTCGGCATTTCATCCAGCTACAGAAACGAAGGGTGTCGCCGAGACAGGAGGCTGACCGAGGATTTGCAGCCCTGCATTCCGGTGGGCAGCTGGATACGGCCAACTTCCGAGCCGGGATCATGGAGAATAGCTTATCCAGATTGCCGGACCCTTCTTCTTGAGCCCACGAAACACTGTTAATTTGCTATCCAGATTACCGGGCACCGCTTCCTGAGCCTGTAAAGCACGGAGGATTAGATATTCATATTACCGGATCCCTGCTACATGCTCCTTTAAAACAGGAACGTTTGGATATTCAGAGTACCGGGCCCCACGTTTCGCGCCAGTAAGGAAAAAAAACACGAAGAATTGCATATTCATGTTACGGGGCCCCGCCGCTCCCTGGTGCATGGCGGTCTGTTGGAGGTGAGTATCCCAGTTTGCGCTGCAACTCCTCGCACCGAGGGAGAGATGGGATAGGAAAAATGGGAGGAGGTGTTGGAGGAGGAGAGGGCGGGGGAAGATAGGAGGGAGAGATTCGACGCAAAAGTCGTTTGCGGGAAGCCGGTTTTCGGTTTACCCTGCTTTTTAATGCGATTAAAGCGACTATTATAAACGCCTCCGGTTCGGGACAGAGAGCAGGACGGGAGGGGGGTGTCCGTCTCTGTGTAGCCGGATGTCAGTCGTGCATAAGCTAAAATGGCAGAGTTAAGATGGACGCGGCCTATTTTAAGTCCCCTTTGCTTTCCCGCACAGCGTTATAAAACTTGGAAAAGGTCTGAAAGCTTAAGGTTGTCATGTCTCCCCTGCAGTCAGTCTCCAAGTTAAAAATAACTTCAAATATTTCTATGTTGGGCCATGGTTACTTTGCGTTTAAACCAATACGTAAAAACATGCAAGTGCTTAACCGCTTTGAATAAATTTGGCCAGCCCGCTTCCGGTTCCCATGTTTCAAAACCTGAGGTTGTGCATTTGAGTCCAAATAAAGCGGTCCGAGCATTTATATTAAGGGGAGCCTGTGTTGGTTAAACCGAAATCAATCTATAAGTCCTACTTCCATGTGCACACATAAGCCCGATTCCCGTTCGCATTGCACTGCATTTTAAATATCAGTTTTCTTCTATCTTATTTCTATGAATTATGTGCTTAATGGTTAAACTGAATGATCTTCAGCACCAAAACGCCTTTCATAAATTTCCTGAATATTAACATAATGTAATAATTAGTTGTATCAGTATGACTGTGCAAACCTAAACATGCGCATTAAAACTGGAAATGTTGTGTAATTGATGTATGTTTGTCATTGTGTGTGTGTGTGTGCATTGCGTGTTTAGCAGCGATTGGACTACCGGTTGTAAAGTTATTAGTATCTAGAGAATGATGTAATTCATTGACGTAACTACGCTTGTGCTCCTTGAAGAGTCTGTGCCTGAAAGTGTTATATCAGTAATACCCCACCAGTTACTACTGTAAGTTTTTGAACACACATTCAGAATGAGATAGGATAAGTTAAAAACGTGTTTGATTTATCGTGGCATCAGTGGTGTCGACTTCAGTCACAGTTTGATCGCAGAGCTGGGGGTTGAAGCCTTACCAGTAGCTTTCTTTATGGACAGTTGATTGCTTGCCCTTCTATCTGGAGAGCAAAACAAAGGCCTGGAATCTTCTGTGAGACCTGCCGGGGGAGAAGTCGCCACGTGCCGGAGGGATGGAGAGCGTGGGGCTCCAGGCCGTGGCTCTGAGCGACGGCTCGACGGCCTACATCCAGCAGGCCATCAAAGGTGAGCGTGTGGCCTGCTCACTGCTGCGGAGGCTGGGCTCAGGGCGGAACGACGCCAACCGGCTATGACTTCAACAGGAAGCCAACATAATTGATAATTAGCCTAAGTCTGTAGCCGAAAGATTATTCCATTAAGTAACATAGACCAAAATCAGGTTCTCTCATCAGTAGCGTTTAATAACGAGCATGATTCTCTTCCTCCAAATCAATATTGGAATGAGTGTCTGACGTATTCCAGCCTTAGGCCTCATACAACCAATGATTTGTATACCCTACAAATAGTGGTTGTTGCATATAAAGGGGAGGAAGGGCCCAGACCTTTAAATGGGTTGGGGGACACGGTAGACTGAGGGCCCCTTTCGTTTTGCAGATGGAAGCTTGGTAGAAGGCGATACCATTCAGCTAGAGGACGGCACCACCGCCTACATCCAGCAGGTCACAGTACAGCAAAAAGGTCAGTAGAGGGCGACTCCCACCTTTCTGCTGCAAAGAGACCAGTGAAGGGAGCTGCTCTACTACTCTAATGAAACTTTCTCCAAAGACGTGCTGCCTTTCGAGGACGGACAGGTGGTCCAGCTGGAAGATGGCAGTACTGCCTACATTCACCACACTCTGAAAGGTAACTTGGTCCCAGCTGAAAGGTTTGCCTCAAAATTACTGCATGCAGCATACCCATGGTCCACAAGTTGCAGTGAGGCGCAGGCTCTTTTGACCTTTGACCTTTGACTTGACAGAGGGCTATGACCCCAGTGCAGTGGAGGCAGTGCAGCTAGAGGACGGCAGCACAGCCTACATCCACCACCCGACAGTGCTGCAGTCAGGTCGCACCACCCATGCCGTGCAGGTAGGGGGAGCCCTGGAGGAGCCCCTGGACCCCAACACCATTGCCACCCTGGAGCAGTATGCTGGCAAGGTACATGCCCCTTGAACAGTTTAATATTTTTTTTTTCTCTAAGAATTAAATTGGTCAACTCAGCTTTTCTCACTCAAGCAGGAGGCAGAAGACAGCATTGGCAGTGAGCTTCAGAAGGTGGATTCCAGAGTGGAGCATACCACTGTGCAGGTGCTACGCCATTGGCTGGGAGTATGGTGGGAGGGGCTAGGGCAAAACCATAATCAATTAGATATGACGCTTCCAGTGAAGTGTGGCAGGGGCTGGCCCGCGATTGGTCAGAGAGGCCAGATTCAGTGACCAACTGCCTGATTCCTCCTTCAGGTGATGATTGAGGGAAAGGCCTGGGGCTCCACCAAGACCCAGCAAACACCCGAGAAGAGTTTCCGCTGTGACTACGAGGGCTGCGGACGCCTGTACACCACCGCACATCACCTCAAGGTGCCGCTCATGACGTGACAGAAAGTCACTTTGAAGGCTCTATGTTATAGGAACACAGCCGCCAATCACAACAACAGTCACTTACGTCTTAGACAATCAAGTTCTCCATGGTTCTGCTTTATCTCCAGATAATTTATCTTCCTTAAGTGCCAGGGAAGGGGGTGCAGAGCGGCTTGGGATACCAGCCCATCACAGGGCACATCTGCAGATGATTTCCAAATCCTCCATAATGACACTGATTACGAGGCTGCCGTGTCACTTAATCCTGGTTGCGGCAGTGGGCTCTGAAGGTTTTATTTGTGCCTATAGAGCCGTTAAAGAGAATACCACAATTCATATTGCGTCGTGCTGATCAGACCAAGGATGAACACCTTCCTGTTATTTGGAGGGGAGAAAGGCAACATTTGTGAAATTTCTGAAGGTGCTGTGGGCAAACCTCCAGGGTTGGACTTCGATTCACACTCCTCTCTGTTAGGAGTCTGCATGCTCTGATTGGTTAGTGGGCTGTCTTCACTGTCTGCACTGTTTGTTTCTGCAGTTGTGCAGTTGGATGAATGGGTGTCTCTAAACAGTCCAGAGTGTGTGTGTGCCCTGCAATGGGCTGGCGTCCTCTCAAAGCTGTTTCTTACCTCAGGCTCAGTAGTTATTAAAAGCAGATGCATAGACTGCTTAAAAACCGCTGGTCGCTCAGGTTTGGTTTGTCTGTGGCTCAAATTGTGCTAATCATTCACTTCTGGTGAATCTGTATAAGAGCTGCATGCTGCCTTATGATTGCCGTCCACCGCGGCCGGAGGCCACCTGGTGAGTGAGAGTGAGGTAGTGAGACAGCCCCCCTCCGCGGCAGGTGCACGAGCGCGCTCACACGGGCGACAGGCCGTACCGCTGTGACGTGCCCACCTGTGGCAAGGCCTTCGCCACCGGCTACGGGCTCAAGAGCCACCTGCGCACGCACACGGGGGAGAAGCCTTACAAGTGTCCCGAGGACATGTGCTACAAGGCCTTCAAGACGTCGGGGGACCTCCAGAAGCACGTACGCACACACACAGGTACCGAGCCCAATGTGCTGCGTAAGCATGTGTCAGTACCTCTTTGTTTTGGTTTAATTTGGTAAGATTTAATTGAAACTTTTTGGAATATTGGAAAAACCCCCATCATATGGCACAGACACACTCACATACATGTTTATACTCATATCTTTGTGAGGACCGTCCATTCATTCAAATGTGGAAAAACCCTAATCCCAGCAATGACAACCTTAACCCCTACCTAGCCGTAACCTTTACCATAAGTAACCAAATAAAATAAAATATTTCATTTTTAGTTTTTCGATTGCAGTCGCAGATTTTTATAAAATTGAGTTTCAAATTTATGGGGACTGAAGACACAGGTTTTTATTACATTATGGGGAGTGGAGTATTAATAGTGTGTGCCACACTCCCCCCAGGCGAGAAGCCCTTTCGCTGTCCTTTTGAGGGCTGCGGCCGCTCCTTCACCACCTCCAACATCCGCAAAGTGCACATCCGCACGCACACGGGGGAGCGGCCCTACATGTGTCCCGAGCCTGGCTGTGGGCGGGGCTTTGCCAGTGCCACCAACTACAAGAACCACATGAGGATCCACACAGGTGAGGTGCTGCACGGCCACTAGTGTGTGTGGCAAACACACACTGAGCGCACGAACACACACACACACACAGATACACATCTTCACACTCATGACCGTCCATTGATTTCTATGGGCAAAATCCTAATCCCAACAATGACAACCTTAACCCCTACCCAGCCCTAACCTTAGCCATAAGTAACCAAATAAAATACAAGACTTTTAGTTTTTTGACTACAGTTACAGGTTGTAATTAAATTGAGTTTCCCCTGGAGGGGACCGAAAACAAATGGTCCCCACAATGTCAAAATAACAGGCTTTTATTACATTGTGGGGATGAAATACATTATAGACACACGCACATGCAGATTTAAAATGCCCATAGATCTCAGGGGCTGCATTGCAGTAGGCTTTTGATGAGACATTTTACAGTTTTTCTGAATTGCTAACACTAAACCCCTTTCTTGGAAAAAACCTCCAACTGCCAATTCTCATTCATTGAGTCAATCACTCATTTGGCAAAACTATAAACAGTGCTCACATAGTTAGACGCAATTCGCAGATCTGAGTCACCCTTTTTACAAAACATTCGTGTTCATCAAAACACATTTTGTAGCGTGGTGAACTCTGATGCAAAATAGAGAACACAGGCCCCTGAATTAAACGCAGCCAGCGCACAGTAATCGTCATTTTAAAATAATGACTCAAATTTGTTCGCACATGTTTCTGAACATGTGAAGAAGCCAGTGAGTGACTAGAACATAGAATACCTGCTGGATGAGCAGGAGGGTGTAGATGGGTCACAAAAGAGGATTCCTCCTCCATTACCAAGCAGAGGAGAACATTTTCCATGATGTATGTGTTCTCTGTCCTGACCCAGGCCAAAGAGCTGATGATGAGGTAGAATTAATATTCTTCCTTGACTTTGGCTTGGCAGTTGTACAACATTTTATTTTACTGCAATGAGCCTTTCATTAGGATTTTTTTTACTTTGTGTTTTACAGTATTTTTTTTGGTATTCCTCTTTGCTTTACATACACTATATGGACAAAAGTATTGGGATACCTGGCCATTACACCTACAGAAACTCGCTCCCCCTCCCTCCCTTCCTTTGCAGCTATAAGAGCTGCCACTCTTCTGGGTAGGCTTTCAGTAATAATAATAATTGATCCCCATGGGGAAATTCTCTTTACGTCTCCCCGAACTTGCTCTCTGTAAGTGAGAGCAAGCTGGCTGTGAAGGGCAGCCAGCCATATCAACGCCCAGGGAGCTGGGGGTTAAGGGCCTCGCTCAAGGATCCACAGACATGCTGAGGCTGGGCTTGAACCGGCGACCTTCTGATCACAGGCAGAGAGACTTAGCCCACTGTATCACACGCTGCTTCCGCAAGATTGTTGAATGTGTCTGTGGGAATTTTTGCCCATTCATCCAGAAAAGCATTTGTGATGTTGGACATGAAGGCCTGGCTCACAATCTTCATTTTAGTTCATCCCAAAGGTGTTCGATGGTGTTGAGGTCAGGGTTCTGGGCCAGTCAAGTTCTTCTACACCAAACCCACCCAATCATGTCTTTATGGACCTTACTTTGTGCACCGGGGCACAGTCCTGATAGAACAGGCTGTTCCCACAAAGTCGAAAGCATTGAATTGGCAAAAATGTCTTGACATGCTGAAGCATTGAGTTCCATTCACTGGAACTAAGAGGCCCAGCCCAAACCGTGAAAAACAACCCCATACCAATATCCCTCCTCCACCAAGTCTTACAATGCAGTCAGGCAGGTAACGTTCTCCTGGCATCCGCCAAACCCCTTTTGGTTTCCAATTCTGCATCTCAACATGCAAAAGACCATACTGACAGTAGCCATGTTTCTCTACAAGCCACCAACAATTTTGACTGGTACCATTTTCAGTTTTTAGCTGTAGTGTGTAGTGAACGCTCAGTAGTGTTTATGTATTGGCCGGCTTTATGTGTGACATGAAAGCAGTGTTTCATTTTGAGTACAGTCAGTTTTGAGTAAATTGGTTTTGCAAGACAAGTCGAAGGTTTTGTGAATATAATCTGAAAATTGGTTTTCGTGTTGGCTACTTTGAGAAAAGGTTTCAGGAAACGTGCTTTGGCAATTCAGAAGAACTGTAATGAGCACCTCACTGATACAGGAACCACCAGGCGAGGGGAATTACTGCTTAAAAGCTATTTATCTTAAGCAGTTATTATATGAGGAACAAGCAAAGAGCCATGCACTCATCTCCAGATGAGTCTGGCTCTTTTGCATGTGTGCTGACACTCAGTTTCATGCCGTAAACATACGTAAGTGGGGGGTGGTCCACATGTACTGCACACGCGTGTGTTTGTAACGTTCTGGCAAACTCGGAAACCCCCGCAGGTGAGAAGCCGTACGTGTGCACGGTGCCGGGCTGCGGTAAGCGCTTCACTGAGTACTCCAGCCTGTATAAGCACCACGTGGTGCACACGCACTGCAAGCCTTACACCTGCAGCCACTGCGGCAAGACCTACCGGCAGACATCCACGCTGGCAATGCACAAGCGCACCGCCCACGGTGACTTCGACACCCCCGAAGAGGGTGAGCGCACCGGGGAAGGGGGGGGGGTTATCAAATTATGAACTGTAACAATAATTATGCTAATAAATTAATAATAATGATGGACTTAATGTTTGAAAGGGGGGATTGACTCATCGTCGCCCCCTCTGGTCCATTTGCTTTGTCCATTGTCGCTCTGCCTTGCCCACCCCCTCTGGTAGAGGGGGAAGCTCTGGAGCCACCTCTCAAACAGTCCCGTCTGGCTTTCCTGGATGGGGGGGACACTAAGGAAGAGGCCTCACATGTGACTATGATGACCGGTGACTCCATAAGCCCACAGGTGGCCCTGATCACTCAGGACAGGGGTCAGCAGGTCAGTTACGATGTCATTTTAAGTACTTAGTTTTATTTCAATGGCTCAAAGTTGAATGTTTGTAAAAGAGTAGCCTGTCAGCCTATACATAGGTTCTTTCTCAGTACCAAGAACACAAAGACCAAACTTGTGGTCTTGGCAAGAATGGTCTAGCTGAATTGCCTTCCAAGAACGAACTTGGGGTGCAACGAATCATGGGATTGGTCTCTTTTGGCAAGGATACAACCAATGTATCTGAGGCGGGGCAAGAACAACATCTGGTGATTTTTATCGCCCTCTGTACTTGTGTTTTTGAGTATTTTGACTGGTCTTCGGCAATGGATGATGATGTAAAACGGGCACACAAGAACGCAAGTACAGTCAAGTACGCATATTGAGAAACACCCATAATCTGGTACCTCCTGGACCTGGTAGTAGTATCCTGGAGCATGTATTTTAGAAGATCTTATAAAGCTAGTATTGTTTTAGTATTGTTATGTACCTGAATTTTATCACCCAATTTGCTTTGAATGATAATGTTGATAAATTTCATTATTATTGCTGTGCTTTGCGGAGGGTGTCTACAGTCGGAACATCATGCAGGATGTGAGCTGAGCCTCTGTATCTGCAGGTCAGCCTGTCCCATGAGGAGCTCCAGGTGCTGGGCACGGCAATCACCATGGTGACTCAGGACGGCACGACCATCACGGTGCCCGCCCACCAGGAGGTGGTGGACGGCACAGGCCAGCACACGGTAGCCATGGTTTCCGGGGACGGCAAGGAGCTGCAGCCGGTAGGGGGGGTGGGGGGGGGGGGTTACTGCCACTTCATAGATGGGGAAATAATCAACACATCCCCTTAAACCCAGGCTGGAAACATTAGTGGTTGGATGGGATTGGCAGGTTTCTTTTGTAGACCAGTGATATCAAGCCGGACACAACATTTCTTAAAAACACTGGGTGAGATGTGAACTCTCTATATATATATATATAGACATGTTGCACTCTCCTTCTCTCCCTTCTGAGGTTGCCATAGTGACATCAGACAGCATCATGACTGGAGGCACTGGGATATCAGGCCCGAATTACCAGCAGGTGGCGCTTTTGGCCACAGCTAATGGCACCCAAATCGCTGTTCAGGTTAGTGTTGCATGAAAGCTGTTGCATGAAAGCAGGCAGGAGACAAACTGAGGGATAAGATGCTGTCATGGCAGCTGTTCTGGGCTGTAGAGAGAGGGCGTTTGGCTCTGCCTTGTTGTCACTGCCATGCTAATAGCCAGTAATGGCTGACTTTGGATCAGAATGGCAGAATCTCATATAAGTTGATGTGTGTGTGTGTGTGTGTGTCCTCCACAGCTGGAGGACCAGCAGACTCTGGAGGAGGCCATCAGCATGGCCACTGCCGCTATCCAGCAGGGGGGCATGTCCCAGGATGCGGGGCCCTCCTAGGCAGAACCTGAGGCACCACTGAGAGGTCAGGGAGGGGTTGGGGCAGGGCTGTTCCTCAGGAACCCACCATCAGAGCATCTGTAGGCTTCAAACATCTCCTCATCTCTACCCACCACACTACCGCCTTGCCTCAGTCAGAACAACGCCCAGCCTACCCTCCCAGTTCTTTTAGCTTCGAACCGTAAACTTTTAAAGGTAAAAAGCTTTAAAAAAGGAAAAACAACAATCTGCTTTGGTGAAAGAGACCTGGAGAAGGGAAATGTCCTCCACAGCTGGCACCTTTCACCAACCGTTTTCACGAGATGTCCACGTGCGAACGTGTACTGGAGACTGACCAACAGCTTCCTTTGAGGCATCACACTTCCTGAGCCTGGGTTCAACGGTGAGGTTATTTACTAAAGGCCCACACGGGTTTTAGCAGCTTCAGGGATAATCCGTTATGGGTTAAGGAAGGTCAAAGTTCACCCTTTAGACATCTGTAGTCTTCACAATAATATATATTGATTCCCTGTTGAAAGTCCCTGTAAAGTTAAAATCAACAGCATGTCTGACTGTTCCTGAAAAGGTCTTGGTACCAGAACTGGTGTATTCTTCATGTTCTTCATCTTCAAGCATCAGGACCAGTAGAGTTACTGATGAGTATTGCGAATCAGACTCAGACTGGTTAAGTCCTAATGAGGTATGAGGTTTTGAACAGGCATCACCTGGTAATAAACCCAACTGTGAGACTCAGCAGTTTTAATCACGTGATGCAATGCAAACCCAGACTGTTTGCTATCAGTCTTCCATCCTTGTGTTTAAAGACCAGAGACTTTAAGTACGGGTTGTGTCACCTATCAAGCAGGACGTCACTCCAGCTTTAAGGGCAGAATCGGGGAAATCAGTCTTGCAATTGACTACACATCATTTAATATGTTACCAAACTTATTAAAATGGTGTTGCACCATTTATAAATGTGTATCTTTTTTTAATTCCAAAAATAAAGCTGAATATTTAAGAGGACTGGTTGATATATCTTGGTTGAAGTACACATGTCACATTAAAATTGTGAATTATTTTTCATGCTTACTGGAAATTTCTTGGCCAGGCAACTCGTTTGGCTGATTTGTTTTGATTGTTCTGGATAACTTTGCTCTTAACCTAGTGTTGTCACACATGTACTCCTGTAAGGGTGCGTGAAGCCACTTTAAAATAATTTTTTTAGACATCCCAGGCTACCCCGCATTGTTAAATATGTTGGGTGCCCATACAGGATTTATGCTGCCTACCTTTGTGCCACTAGGGGGAACCCTTGCCCAGCCTTCCCTAATGTCAATGCACCGTATTGAGCTCTCTTGTCTGTTATTGGTCTATTACTTTTCTGTTTTTTTTGTGTTAAGACATTGAAAATGTCTAACTAAATTATGCTGTACTCAAACTAGGCATAACAGATGCCTTCACTTCTTTGTAGGACATATAACAATTTGCTTGGGCAGAGTGGTCACCCCTGTGGGCTCCATGGGCACCGTTGCCAAGCTCGCTGTCACATATATGTGTCTGTGTGTCACAGAGAGCAAGATGGGGTAGATGGAAGTAATAAAAATCCCCGCATGGATCAATAAAGTTTCATTATTATTGTTAATCTGTCCAGGATTGTGCATATAATAATTTCTTCAAAAACAAGAAATTAAAGTATAGTCTGGTGACATTCCTCACAAGGTCTTCCAAAACTATGTAAGTCGAATTGCTAGGCTGGTTAATTTTTTTGATGGGCTTTTATAAAAGATCCATGTTATGTTTGTAAAATGCTGATGATTGTGTATTTCTGAATCAGTCACCTGCCCAGTTTGGAGGTCAGTCCTGCCTGTTTCATCGGTATATTTCAGTAAGGTTTTGTGACAGGTCTGGGGACGTTTCCTGCAAAGGGAACTCGCACTTAGAAAGCGAATAATGCAGATGGAACTGAATGCACTGGCTTCATGTGTGGCTGGGATTAGTCTAAACAGAAATCTGACATGATCAGTTCGTCTTGCCCAAGGCACCGAGACTCCAGCAGTAGAGCCCAAGAAGGTGGGTTTCCAGCACTGGGGGGCTCATCGGGGGGGGGGATTGTCGTCTGTGCTGGTTTCCCCCAGAAGAATCCTTATGTAGGAATAAGAATACAGCGATCCTGGATCTGGTTTCCCTGGTTGAAGGTGCAGCAGCATAAGGAAGCGACTCAGAGCTGGTAGTGGTTTCCATGGATATAAGCGGCAGTGACGTGGTTAAAAAAAAAATTAAAAATTGTTGCCTGTCACCTGTTTGGTCTTGAAAGGTGAACGTTCAGGTTGCAGGCAGGCAGGTGGGTCAGTGGGTGGGGCTGCTTTGAGGGCCATTGGCTTCTGTTCTAGTTTTTTTACACATGACTACAGCCTGATGGGTGTGGTTTCTGCCTGTGACTGACAGCAGCTGGCGGCGTGTGGGCGGAGCATGCAGGCTTCTGACCACACCCACGTGTTCATACAGGCGGGGTAGCCTGTACTCTCTGCTTCTGTCATTCTTCCTGATGATCCATCTGTTTTCCCAAACCGCGTATCCAGTATAGTGTCTCGTTGATATTGCAAAGCAAAGATGTTAAATGTTCTTTTCCCAAAGGGGAAAGCTGACATGGTTCAGACATCTCTGCCCTCACCCCCCCTTACCCCCCACCCCACAGTGGTGACTAGCTGTTTAGTCTCTTGGCTCTGAATGAATCTGCTTGTTAAATCTGTCCCACCCTCCCTGACACACACAGTCATCGTTCTGTCCCGGATGAGGACAGATCTGCATCCTGTAAGCCTTCCCGTTGCTGTGTTCTGCCCGCTGCGGGAGGCACAGAGTGAATGTGTCTGTGAATCTCCTGTTAGGTGTTTCTTGACCTCATCAGCAAAGGGCCTTAAGACTCCGCACAATCCAATACTGAGACAGGCTAAGGAAGCACCTTCATTGAAGCACTCGCTGCTTGCTGAGGTAAACTTCAACCTAATCTGGGAGGTATAGTTAAACTATAAACCTGCCGGGGATGGATCGCCTGAATCTCTACTGTGAAGGCACCAAGTCAGCTAAACCATACCTACAAACTGCAACTAGAGGTCTCCTTGTGGTTACCAACGGTGTGTATGTGACCTTGGATAAAAGAGAACAATCATTAAAAGATCAAAATGATAAGTGGCAAGGGCAGAAAAACGTGTCTCGTTTCCCAGGGTGCTCACCTGTGATTGGGTATGATGACACGACTGTTGCCAAACACATAGAAAGACAAAACACAGCGTCACAATGAAGATGCACACACCCAGTTAGTCATGTTAAAGTGGGGTTACAGCTTTTCATCCACGCAGAGGTGTGAGTATAGAGGCTGAGCGGAGATTCCTGTGGCTGGGATGAGGTGCCAGGAAGCTGCAGCGTTCTCTGGACTCTGAGCTGGAGTATCGCATACTGTGGTCACCGTTTTGACTCACGAGTCCACAACGTGTTTAATTAGGGAGTGTTTTCCATTAGGCAAGGGGGAAATGAAAGACACCCGAAAATGTCCGATCTCATGGAGATTTCACTTTCAGATACACTTGTGTTAGGGCAAAATTATGCTCTATTCATCTGTAAATAGATGCGCTAAGATGTTGGCAATCGCTTTTGGTGCATGGCAACGTCCTGTGAACCTGTTAGCTTGGACCACCGTAGATGGAATCTGCCTGAAACTCACACGTAGCTCGTTACCGACGATCTGTTTTTCTCAATTAGTTCAGCACTACCAATAAGTGCCAGCTGCACAGACAGACGAGCTTTCAGCTGAATGTTCTCTCATGCCCAGACCTGCTCCCTCTGACCTAAATGACCACCAGAAATAGTTGCCCGTATGTTGGGACGTACTTTCACGCACGTGAACATCTGAGTGAGATGGTAGCGTCCCAGGCTGAGCAGTGAGTCGCGTTGAGCCGTGCGAGACGTGAGCGATGTTTGGGTTGGCCGCCCTGCTCGTGCACCAGTGAGTGGGTCGCAGAGGAATGTCAGTCGATTGTTTTCACGTTATGCCTGGGCGTGTTTTTCAGTGGTGAGCGGGGAGGGGGGGTCTACCGCAGAGCCTCTCCCTGAGGAAACACTCACGAGGCCCCCCCCCCGATGAGGAGCACGGGCTCCACGCCCATCCAGAACCCCTCCCCATCGACTTCCCGAGTCTCTGACCAGTTGTCACGGCCACGCCTCTGTATGCTCCTGCATTTGGGGTCCAGTCATGCCCAGACAGTGTTTTTATTTATAACTTTAAAACAACATAAGTGTACGACTTAAGGCCTTGTACTCTGTCGTGGGGGGGGGGGGGACACTTTCATCTGCGAGGGGAGCAGCTAGTGTGGGTGTGGAGGAGGAATTTAGGGTGTGGGTCGGTGCTGGGGTGGGTGGGTGAAGGGATTAGCACGAGACAAAGGTGGGGGCACTCTGATATCAACTGGTGTCAGAGGCAGGGGGTTTACTACAACCAGTTTGCTCCAGGGTGCAAGGTGTGTGCGTGTGAGTGTGTCTGTGAGCCTGCGCCCTCAGTAGAGACTGAAGTGACAAAGGAGTAGACCCCCCAAGACTGGGTGTGGGGCCATTACTAAATGAGCACGGGGGGAGGGGGGGTAGTTTCAGCCGTCTCCTCCCTCCCCCACATCAGGACAGCTTACAGTCTTTCTTTGTACTCTTTTTTCCCAGGCTAATAATGGAAACGCACCAAACGACTTCCTTAACACATAAAAAAACATTGACTTCGATCGCAGTTTGGGCACTTCTAGCAGCCGTTCATTGCAAGCATTTTTAATGGTTTTTTTTTTCCTTTTTAAGTTAAGATGGACTTTTTTAATTCGAATCAGGTGGTAAATGTAGGTGAACCTCTGATTTTGTAAATGTGGGAATTGTGAGAGGGAAGGGGAAAAGTCTGCATGGAGACAGAGGAAGACCAATCAGAATGCAGCGATATTGTAAACAAAGTCTGACTTCCTGGGGCAGCTGCGCGGGTCAAAGGTTGCCTGCCTGCTTCTTTCCCATAGTAGCTGATGGGCTTCAGCTAAGAAGAATTTGGGAAGGATGCATATTGGTAATGTACGCCAAGATTGGGTCACCAAGGCTGTAGCACCCTGCCAGTCGTCCATTAAAGTGTGTAAGTGTGTTTCCGCATCAGTCGGAATGGTGAGGGGACCCAGAACAGCTTTCTCTCAAAATGATTATAGAATAGAGACGTTTTTTCTTTGATTTCTAAAATTTCTGACGTTCTTCTTTAAGTCAGTCTTGATATCTGACTGACTCCCTCTTGACTAATGCAGATATGAGAATGAGGCTCAGCATATCATGCATAACTGCGTAATTATCTTTTAGTTTTTATTAATAATTGCATTATTACTTTCCCATTGTAATGGATTTAGTGAATATCTTGCTATTATTCAATAATTATCATTTGCCCGCCTACAGTGGTACAGCTAATTTTATATCCCCCCCCCGCCCCGCCACCTACTGCACAGCAACTGGTGTGCCTGTCTGTAGTGGGCGGGGGGCCCAGTTGGGGTTACAGAGCGGCTGGGCGGAAAGGCAGCTGATGTAGAGCAAGCAGCAAGGAAGCCCAACACTTGTGTGGAGGTGGGGGCAGATTTCGGGTAGGGGTGGGGGCGATATTTGCACAAACACGTGTAGTAACATGCAAATGCAACCTTTACAGAGACACGTAAACGAGCAAAGCAGGAACACAAAAGCACAGCATGCAACCACAGCGTTACAGTTACACCAACAAACACAGTCACTTAAGAAATATACATTGTGTCATTTACCTGCAAAATATGTAAAAAGGTAAGTTATACCGGTATTCATGAAAATGAGTATTTTGGACAATGACGAGTGAGAGTAGAAAGTCACCATTCCCATACTGGTTAAATACAATCCCATGAGCACCGTGAATGGGACTCGACTATAGATCTAAATGACCTGTAACTGGTCCCAGTCTGTGTTGCGATGGTTGCCAGGAGAAGCCTTTGAGGCTCAAACTGAAGTGGGGGGTAGAAGATGGGGAGGGGGTCATATTCAAAGAGGCCTTGTGCTGGCAGTTTGGTGTGGGGTTAGCCACTGGGGGGAGTGAGTTTGCTGGG